TACTCAGGCATAGGGAAATTCCTTTAAAAAAATTTAGGGGGGAGAGGGAAAAGACAGGAAAACCCGTACAAAAAATGATGGCTAGTGCAAAAAAATGCAAGGAGGCAGAGGAGAGGTTTGTTCCCAAGGGGAAAAAAAAAATGGGAAGAAGAACGGGCCTTGGTTTTTACCAAAGGGTAGGGAGGCAAAACAGGTTACTGGGAAAAGGGAAAAAGGGACAGAAGACAGGAAATCAGGAAAAAAAGAGATTACCGAAAGGGGCCGAAATGAATACACAGATAAGAAAAGGGGGGCTACGACAATATGAAAAAAAATAGCACGAAAGTAAAGACTGACCCCAAGCTTTGTACGCCACATCAGGAGGGAAAAAAACGTCAAGGGCCCCGGAAAAAAATGAGGGAAAGGGGATGGGGGAAATTTCCAAGCAACACCGAGAGGTATTCAGACCAACACGAGATTTAAAGAAGTTTTTACAGTGGAAACCCTAGGACTCCAGGAAATCAAAAAGGGTTTTAACCAACAAGTGCTGGTGAGGTACAATAACCAAAGGGGAAGTAAGAAGGTGCATGCAACTTGACACTTAAAGGCGGGGGGCAGACAACCCTCCTCCGGGGGTCCTTAAAGAGGGGCAGAGATATTGTGTTGCCCTTAAAAAGAACTTCAACACATCATTTGAAACGGGGAACTCCCCCGGTATGGAAGATGGCAAAAGATCCCAATTTTTAAAAAGGGGGACAACATAGGGACTAAACTACAGACCTGTATCACTAACTGTATTATGAAGGGCAAGGAGAGATCATCAGGAGGGGGTGGGGACACCCGGAAAAACAATGTATAATTGCAACCAGCAGGTTTCAGGGGAAGGAAAAAACCTGTGTCACAAACCCAAAAAAGTTTTATGACAAGGGAAGAAGTAAGACAAAGGAAAAGGGGTGGCGCGAATTTTTTTGGCTGCAAAAAGGGCCCCGACACATTTTTCCCCACAAGAATTTTAGAAAAAGGGTAGAAGCGGCACATAAAACAGGAAAGGGCCTGCAAAGGACAAAATACCTACAGGGAGGCAAAAAACGAGTCTGGTACGGGACAGGGGTTCAGAGTGGGCGCTTTGCAAGCGGGGTCCACAGGGGTCATTCCCGGACCGTGCTTTTTGGTTAAGTGAACGACATAACGAAGGGATAGACTCAAAGTGTCCTTTTTTGCAGATGATGTGAAGTTAATGAGAAGAAACAAAACGGATGGGATGGCAGGACTACAAAGAGACCGGACAGGGTCAAGCCGGGCCAGCAACTGCTCCCTTTAGTTTAAACCTGCCAAATTTTCAAAGTCATGAAGATTGGGGAAGGGCAAAGAAGACCGCAGACACAATATAGTTTTTGAGGCCAAAGACGCAAACCTCACTCAAGGAAAAGATCTGGGGGGGGATTAACACCGAAATATCTCCTGAGGGCAATAAACAGATAACTGTGCAGAAGGCGCCTGGCAAACCCACGGATAGCGTTCCGTACCCCAGTAAGGATCGTTCAAGACCCTGTATACCATTTCGTCGGGCCCCTACTGGAGTATGCAGCCCCCATTTGGAATCCACACCTAGTCAAGCACGTCAAGAAATTTAAAAAAGTGCAAAGGTTTTCAACAGACTAGTCCCAAGTACGGGGATTTTCCTACGAAGAAAGGGAGGGGAAAACGGCCTGACGCACTGGAGGGCCCGGAGGGTCAGGGGGGGACATATAACGACATAAAAATACTGCCGGAATAGACAAGGGGGACAAAGACAATGCCAGAGATGGGGCACAGACACAAGAGGCACAATTGGAAGTTGAAAACTCAGAGAATCGAAGGGATTTGGAAAATATTTCTTCAGTCATAGAGTAGTCAAGTCGTGGAATAGTCTAGAAAGTGAAGTAGTGGAGGCGGGAACCATAAAATATTTTTAAGGCGAGGTATGATAAAGCTCATGTAGCAGGGAGAGAAAAGACCTAGTAGCAATCAGTGAAGAGGGCGGGGCCAGGAGCTTGACTCGACCCTGAAAACCACAAATAGGTGAGTACAAAAAGGTGAGTACACACTGCACGCACACACACACACACACCCCACACACACACACACACACACACACACTGCACACACTACACACACACACAACACACACACACACACACACACTACACACACACACACACACTACACACACACACACACAACACACACACATCAAAACACACATACACACAACACACATACACACAACACACTACACACACACACACACACACACACCCCACTACACACACACACACAAACCCACACTACACACACACACTACCCACAGTACACACACACAACATACACACACTACACACACTACACACACACACACTACACAACACACTACACACACACACTACACACACACACACTACACACACACACAAACACGCACACTACACACACTACACACACACACTAAAACCCAAAACACACTGCATACATCATACCAACACAACAGTGTACACATACACTGTACACACAGTGCACACATACACTGTACAACACATGCACACATACACGTACACACACAGTGCACACAAAAACAATGTACATACACTGGTGGCCTGGTGGTTAACGCTCTCGCTTCACACGGTGAGGGCCTGGGTTCGTTTCCCAGCCAGAGTAGAAACATTGGACGTGTTTCTTTCCACCTGTTGTCTATGTTCCCCATCATTTAAAAGGGGTACCTGGGTTTTTAGTCGACTGGTGTGGGTCGCATCCTGGGACACTGACCTAAGGAGGCCTGGTCACGACCGGGCCGCGGGGGCGTTGACCCCCGGAACTCTCTCCAGATAAACTCCAGATAAACCACCCAAAACCCTTAGGTCATTTCATGTTAACTTGCGGTTAGCTTGAGTCAATTTCGAAGGGATGGTGGGTACTGCGACCAAGGTACTAGACGAATCTTCCTCGTTGCTTCCCTGATCATCTAGGCCGTCGGTGCCACCTGCATGCAGTCCAACTTATGCACCACAGCCTAGCTGATCAGGAACTGAATGAAGGAAACATGTTGAATAATTGACGTCCCTTTACACTTACTAATTCTCTCTGGGTGTACTTACCGTGTCCCTGCTTTTTATTGGAGGTATTTGCCCCCTCTTTCAAATCGCCAAGCTTTCATATGGAGTGATTTCAGTATAAAGGCTTGGGACCAGTCCCTCCAGGATTTTCCAGGTAAAAAATTTATGATGTATTTTTCCCTCGTCTATGTTCCAAGGAGAACCATTAAAGGGACTGCAAGCTTTCCAGTTAGTCCAGATGCTTGACTGATTTTTATATAGGCATAAAGGGTTTTCTGTGTGTCTTCCAGCTCTACAGTTTTTTCTACCTTTGAAGAATACTAGTAAACAACCAAATTTCCAGCCTAGGGAAAAACAGGTGACCTGTAGAGAACCACCCTTTTGCACTTGACGTCACGGGGCAAGGAGTCCATCATACTGCCTGTCATGCTTGTGCCTGTGATAGTGCGTTATCTCTAGGTGTCCTGACAAAAGTGGTCTTGAAAGATTCTGACGTTCCTGAACCTTGCTCAAACTATGAATTATTCAGCAGAAGGAATCAGAAAAAATTTGTCTTTTTATTATCATCTTGTTTAAAATAAAGATCGTTGGGTAAACTGGTTAGCTGTGATCAGTGGTCTGGCTCTGGAGGTTGATTTCCCCCCAAAGGGCTCTTAATCCCTAGATTTAGAGCCACTCTTTCTTTCTTTGGGTCAATTTTTTTTGATTTCCTTTCCCCCAAAGGGCTCTGTGTTACCCCAACAGATCCAGAGATCCCTGTGAAACAAAAATTGCAAAATCCGGGAGTTGCAAGTACAGCTGGTGTGTTTTAAATGATCCTTTCTTGTTTTCTTCTAAAAACTGATGGTCCCTGATATGTTAAAACCCTCCTGACTGACTACTGATTCGCTTCATTCCATGAACATGGATTTTCAGTGCAGACTTTCACAAATTTCAGTCCCCAGGAACATCAACTGTAAACAGGGGTGCCGGGTTACCTGAGAGTATACTTCCACAACGCCACCTATGTATAAAGTGGGAACGCTACACAAATAACCAGCAAATAGGAGAAAAATTTGATGAGGACTCTTTGACTCGGCTTGGTCCATAAGTGAGTGAGTGGGTGTGTCACTCAGGTTTACAGAGTTGTTTAATTAATCTGTACAATTTATGTAAGATGATTTATATAAAATTTATAAAGTTGAATAATTTTATGTTTTGTAAACCCAGCATTCACGTTTTTTATATTTAAAAAAAATGTAATATTGTCAATATAGGCAAATTATTTTCTTTCTTTCAAATAAAGCAAAGTCTATAATCTTTAAATGTTAATATATTTAAAATAGCATCCCATACAATAATAAATACATATATGATGGTGCCGCTTACCCTAGCAATGCTGACGTACATCATAAACGACCTTTACATGGCATCGTAAACCCAGACACCTCAGAATACTTAAAGCTCCATGCTTCTGTAGCGTTTCCACTAGGTAGACATATTTTCCATCAACCCCTAATTTGGAAACTTCTCTGCCATTTTCATGATGAAAATTGTGCACGATCCACGCACCGAAGAAAAAAAAAAACGGGGAAATATATCGCTAATTCTTGTTCTGTCAGATGCCTTGTGTGATTAGCGACCAACCCCGGTTTGTGACATTTTGTCCAACACTCATAGCGTCATCACACCCGATGGCTAGTGGATGAAAACGTCTTCTTTCGCCCGGCAGCATGGCAGACACAGCCATATCTCTGCCATAATAGCTTAACAGATTTGATATCATGAATTTGAAGACTAAAATCCTGTTTACTAGGCAGGAGGTCTTTCCTCTCCTCTTGTGTTAAACGCTTCTCTCTAAAGCCTTTTTCCAATATTTTTTTTTACAATAACCCTTGTGATGAAAATGCATGTGTATAATAAATTATATATATATAAAAAAAAAAAACTTACTTCGTCGGGAACTTCGGTATTAGTTTTCCTCCTGAACTCTTCCCCTCCAGTGTTTTTTAGGGTTTCAAGTCCAAAATATTTTCCTGGCATTTTTGTAATCAGGGAAAGTCCATGATCACGAGCTCTCTGAATGTTTACAGCCATCAGGTCACGTCGGGAGAACTCAAGTGGTCCAAACACATTACCTAGGGACACCATGAAAGATTTTGATCCTCTGGATATACCGTCAGCCTCGGGTCCACTACTAGAGAAGTATGTAAGTGTATAGAAACTAAAGACCCACCTCAGATTTTACCCCTAGATTTATCAGTGGAAAAAAGATCAAGTGTTTTAGGCACAACTAAGAACCATAATGTACCTCCATAGGACAACCATCCACAGGTGCCACTAAGCACCTACTACTTACATCCACAGTGCCACTAAGCACAAACGCTTACATCCACAGTATTTACTAAGCACTACCACTTACACCCACAGTACCATTAAGCACTACCACTTACATCTACAGGTACCATTAAACACTACCACTTACATCCACAGGTACCACTGAGCACAACCTCTTACATCCACAGGTACATTAAGCACTACACTTACATCTACTGGTACCATTAAGCACTACAACCTAAAATCCACAGTTACCAATAAGCACTATCACTTACAACAGGACCACTAAGCACCACTACATAACTCCTCAGGTACCACTAGCACCACTACATGCCACCACAGGCAACACTAAGCACCACTACATACCACCAACAGGTACCCCTAAGCACTACCACTTACATCCACAGGTACCATTAAACACTACCACTTACATCCACAGGTACCATTCAGCACTACCACTTACATCCACAGAAACCACTAAGTACCTAAAATACAACTTTAGACGCCCACTAAGCACCACTACATGACTTCAGGTACCACAAAGGGCACCACTACATACCTCCTAAGGTACTACTAACACACCACAGGTTTACCTGGAGTTTACCTGGAGAGGGTTTGGGGGGTCAACGCCCCCTCGGCCCGGTCTCAGACCAGGCCACTAAACACCACATCATACCTCCACAGGACCACTAAACACTACCTCATACCTCCACGGGTACCACTAAACCCCACATCATACTTCCACAAGAAACTACTGAACACCACATTATCCCTTCCACAGATACCACTAAACCACCACATCATTCCTCCACAGCAGCACTAAACACCGCATAATACCTCCTCGGGTACCACTAAATACCAAAATCATACCTTCTCCGGTATACTAAACACACCTCCACAGGTACCACAAACCCCCACATCATGCCTCCTCCGTATACTAAACACACCTCCACAGGTACCACTAAACATCACTAAAAACCTCGAGTATCACAAAGCACCACCCCAAAATACCTCGCAAGTCATCAACGATCACGTTGTCCTCCGACTCGGTACTCTGGCTACTGAGACCCATCAGAAACCTCTCAAAGTTCTCAGGGCCCACGAGTAAACATTCCTGTAAGAGAATACGTAAATGATAAATATCATTTTGCTTATTTTTAATTTAAGGATTCTGCAGGAGTTAGGCTTGGAATTCATAGTTATCTTACTCGCTATGATTATTTTACATTATATATTTAAACTAAAAGTTTAGCCCCATAGAGGTCATTTCTTTTCATATTTTTATCCCTAGCAGTTTTTTTTTATTATATTTAATGACATACTTCAAGGAAAATGAGTGATCTTTGAGCAAGATGTAGGCCAGAGACTCCTTCAAGGAAGGATACCTTTATGCTGCTAAATGACTTATGGACCTAAAAATACACTCCCCATCCTCAGACCAAACCTGAATGCCTCCCATTCCATAGGTGCTATATGACCCACTAAGGATTTTGTGCTTTCCCCCTGAAGCTGGCCAGGGGCTTTCATTTGGTCAGATGATTTGATTTAATCTATTGCCCACTTGCCGAGAGAACCTCTTCCAAATGAGAGTCATTAAGGAAAAAAAACAATAAAAACGGGGTGATTGCAAATATGAAAAAATACCAGAGTGAAAATAGAAATAAAACCTATGCGCTGTCGAGTTCTTACGCATATTCTTCAGAGGAATAGGAAGAAGTGGAGAGGTCTGAGAGGTGTTGGGCACTCTCAGAAAAAGCGACACCTCACAGACTTGTCCTGAGTTCATTAACTGGAACTAATGATTGAAAGGGTACATTCAAGGTGGATACTACTGTTTGTTACCCGTAGTGAAGAGTAATAACAGTCTTGCTGTTGTTAACGAACAAGAACCAGGTTGGGAACCCTTAGAACAGTTTTTCTTTTACGTAACATTAAAGTCACTGTGTTGATGAATGCTGAATATCATGTTAATGAACAAGAGGAAAGGGAAAGGATGGGATTAGGGTCAAAACCTAACGAGAACACTCTCGGCTTATATACGCTAGAGAAATACACATCACGATGTTCAAATTTAAATTTTTATTTTTTTGCAAGTTTACAATGTGATTGACCATGTTTAGATAGGTAGTTTACAGTGTGTAATTTCAAAAATGATTTGCAAATGCAAAGAGAGCCACTATCAAGCCTAGCATTAGGTCATCCATGACGGGTCTAGTCGAGAGACGAGTTACCTTCCACGACCTGCAGAAGCGGAGGTACGAGGCCAGGCTATCATGACAATGGTGGATACCCTAGGTGTTAAGTGAAATTGTGCATCGTATTAAGTATTGTAGCTCCGCTGTCAAATGAATACGAGATGCACAATGGCTGTTTTTTTTTGCAAGAGTCTCCTTTAGGATGTTCGAAATAGTTTCCATTCTTCCTTACGCCACAAATTCCTCTCATCATCCATCTCTCTTTTTCTTTTATCTCCCCTTACTGGGGATCTCCAAAACGAGTTGCATGTCCTGACTCCCCCTTGCGCATGGTTCTGGCCCAGACCCCCAGAGAGAAAGGAACTGTGCGACAACCTTCGTCCCTGCGTTTCTCGCAGGTATACTCCTGAGGTCACTAACGTATGCCCGAACCTCATAGCAGCTGACTGGAAGAATGTGGCTCACTTGTGGAACCGTCCCTCGCCTTGTAACCTCAAGTTTTTTTCAATTCAGGCTTTGCCTCTTTAACCTATTTATTCCATAATCTTTCTCCATAGTTAATTTATCATTATATTTTTGGTTTTAAATTACTATATAAATTACCAAAAATGACATACAGTAAATAATCTATAAACGAATGTAAATTCAGCTGAATAATTATCGTTGTTAATTTCTTGGCTTCCATCATTGGATTAAGCATTTCTTAACAAGGAAGTTATGTATAATCCTTATGGGTTTAGAGATCCCATGACAATAATAATTAACACAAATAATTCAGAAAAAATAAAAAATGAGAGTGAAAGAGATAAAATGAATTAGGATTTCTCTATTTATCTTCCATTAGGTTCCCCTATTGTGAAACTGAAAACAACTAAATCAGAAGCTGCCAAAGGGGCACTAGCTATCAAGGAACACTACAATCAAGGAACATTAAACAAGGGAAAAATATCAAGGAACACTAGCTATCAAGGAACACTATCAAAGGTACACTAGCTATCAAGGAACACTATCAAGGTGCACTGCTATCAAGGAACACTATCAAGGAACACTGGCTATCAGGAAAAACCCACAATCAAGAAGCACTAGCTATCAAGAAGCACTAGCTATCAAGAAGCACTAGCTATCAAGAAGCACTAGCCATCAAAGAGTACTGGCTAAACAAAAAACACTAGCTATCAAGGAACACTGGCTATCAAGGACACTGGCTATCAAGGAACACGGCTATCAAGGAAACACTGGCTATCAAAGAACACTAGCTATCAAGGAGCACTAGCTATCAAGGAACACTGGCTCTCAAGGAACACTGGCTATCAAGGAACACTGGCTATCAAGGAACACTGGCTATCAAAGAAAAACCTAGCTATCAAGGAGCACAGCTATCAAGGAATACTGGATATCAAGGAACACTGGCTATCAAGGAACACTGGCTATCAAAGAACACTAGCTATCAAAGGGGCACTAGCTATCAAGGAATGCTGGATATCAAGGGAAAACTGGCTATCAAGGAACACTAGCTTCAGGAACACTAGCTATCAAGAACCTTAGCTATCAAGGGAAAACTGGCTATCAAAGAAAACCCTTTGCTATCAAGAAACACTGACTATCAAGGAACACTAGCTATCAAAGAACACATGCTCTCGAGGGAAAACTGTACCAACTTTATGACTGGAAGAACACAGACATTAACAGTTTCAGTAGCAAATTGTAACAGAAACAGATCCTTTCAGGAGAGATGAAGTTTTAAGACAACCCAGGAGATTGGAGTTAAGAACCCAAGAGGTAAGCTAGGTAAACAGAGTTAGGTAAAACACCAACAATAAATATATATATATATAATAATATATATATATATATATAATATATATATATATATATATTTTATTCTTTCTTCTTTCAACAAACCGGCCGTTTTCCCACCGAGGCAGGGTGGCCCAAAAAGAAAAACAAAAGTTTCTCTTTTTAAATTTAGTAATTTATACAGGAGAAGGGATTACTAGCCCCTTGCTCCCGGCATTTTTAGTCGCCCCTTACAACACGCATGGCTTACGGAGGAAGAATTCTGTTCCACTTCCCCATGGAGGTAAGAGGAAATAAAACAAGAACAAAACTAGAAAGAAAATAGCAGAAAACCCAGAGGGGTGTGTGTATATATATGCTTTGTACATGTGAAGTGTGACCTAAGTGTAAGCAGAAGTAGCAAGACGTACCTGAAATCTTGCATGTTTATGAGACAAAAAAAGGACACCACAATCCTACCATCATGTAAAACAATTATACAGGGCTTTTGTTTTACACTCACTTGCAGGCGGTAGTACCTCCCCCGGGCGGTTGCTGTCAAACCAACCTACTACCTAGAATAATAATTATATATATATATATATAAAATATAAATATATTTTATATAATATATATTATATATATATATTATATATATATATAAAATGTACACACTATACACTTACCTTGGGAAGGTGTGCCTCAGTGCGGATATACTTGGTAGCCCCGTCATAGTAAAACAACGGCCTGGTAGGTAGCTATTACCCATTTTCCCCGCCTCATTATATACTCGCTCGTCCTGAAACAATTGTTTTCATCATATAAAACATTCAGTAGAGCTTATGGTGATTTGTTTCATTATAGAGCATACGGTAGAGCCTATACAGAAAAATCCGGATTTTAAATGTTTTAACATGCATAGCGGCCTACCTGATGATAGACTTGCATAAAATTTGTTCAGATGGGTTTTATTATGAAAACGTTAGCTATAATCTAAAGTTATATATTATAATTATATATTAACTAATCTAGGGTGGAGGGAAAAAGGGCTATGAGCCGTCCTAGAAAAGATTAGAGGAAGGAAGTAGGTGAAAGAGGTAGGTAGGTAGGTAGGTAGGTAGGTAGTGGATTTATCAGGTTTGAGCGCTAGAGGCTTATATGAGCGCGAGGCGAAGGTGGAGACAAGATGCTGCAAATTTAGAAAGATACTTGAACAACCACTAAGACGTATTAGAAAAACATTTCGGTCCTGGGACCGTGATCAGGTGTCCCGGGAGAGAAATGTTTCCAAATATGTCCTAGTGTTTGGTCACGTGTCTCTTTAAATAGTACACAAATAACCCGCACATAGAAGAGAGGAACATACGACGACGGTTCGGTTCGACTTCGTAAATGGTCCAAGTCGGACCGAAACGTCGCCCGTAAGCTCCTCTCTTCCATGTGCGTTATTATTTGTCGGTATCTCCATCATGGTTTATACCGAGAGGTTTTTATTAAACTTGTCGTGGTCAGGACCGGATAAAGACATGGGTTTTAAAGGTAGCAACCCAGGGGCCTCCCCCCTCCAGAGATGTTCTCAGCAACTAACAATTTCAGGGGATGTTACGGTTCGGAGAGCTATTTGAGCTGTGATGTCAGCACGCTTCTGGCAAGACAGTCAGTGAATGAATGATGGTAAATGTGTTTTCCTTTCTTTTGGATCACCTTACAGATACAAACCCATGAACTACAATATCAATAAATACTAGCATCTAGTTGTATTTGGGTTATCCTGGGTTAATTTTCTCCTATAATCACTGGGTTAATTTTTCTTCTGTAATCACTGTACATACGCTGCGGTCAATGCTTAATAAATCTGCAATTGTATAAACACGCAATGTTAATATGAGTGTTAATACGTAGAGTTAATACGTGTACTAACTTTGCAAAGTTAATATGAGTAGTAACTTTGCGTGTTTATACATTTTCAGATATTTTTCTGTATAAAAGTATTTTTAGGTTGTTCGCTCTGAAACCGGTTTTAAATTATTTATTTATGACATTTCTTGAATTACATGGCTATATTTGAGTTATAATCATTTTTGTGTCACTGGTTGGTAAGAGCAGTTATAATAATTTTATTGCTAACATTTGGAAATTGTTACTATGGCGCGAAAACCATTGCCTCAGATTCTATCCAAAGTGGTCAGGTCACTTGACCTACCTACCTCTCTCTCCCTCCCTCCCTCTCTCTCTCTCTCTCTCTCTCTCTCTCTCTCTCCATCCTACCCCGGTCCTTCACCTCAATCCTACCACAGCTCTTCCGTCTTCCTCTGTCTTCTCCCAGTCCTTTCTATCCCTCTAACCCACCACAGTCGTTACCCTCCCAGTATCCTGCCACAGTCCTCCCCATCCCTCTCCTACCCTGGTTCTACCTATCCATCCATCCTGTCCTAGTCCTCTTCCTCCCCGTTCTTACTATTCCGTTTTATGGAATTTAAACAATCAAGCAGCAATATTTTCTCGGTATCACAAATATAATTCTCACGTACAATCTCTACAATCCTTCATATATACAGATGTACTTCTTTATATAATTATTTATTAATAATATATAATATAATATATATATATATATATATATATATATATATAATATATATATATATATATATAATGACCCCTTTTCTGGATGTAAAACTATATTCTCCATAAAATGTACTTTTTTTTAATATTTTTGGGTGTCTGGAATGGATTAATTGGATTTACATTTTTCTTATGGGAAATATAAACAAAAAATACATTTTATAGAGGATAACTATAGTTTTACACATAGAAAAGGGATTATGAAATTCGGGGGTCCACTGTATATATATATAATATATATATATATATATATATATAATATATTTTATAATATATATATATATATATATAAAGGCCCATACAGCACTTTCAAAATAAATTATAATATGATATTAACAATCGTGGGTTAAAGTGAATAAAACTCTGACACTAATAAATATAAAAGGCGTTTCAAAATATCTGAACCAATTTCAAAGCAACATGCTTTCAAATTTAGTCCATTTTGAAACACCTTGTAGAACACCAATTTAATTATTTTATAAAATCTTATTAGTGGACACAATTCTGGAAGATTAATATTAATATTATAGGGGGATTCAGTTTACAAGGATTATTATGGGGGAGCGCTAAACCCGTAAGGATTATACAGTGCCTGCGTAGGGGGGGGGTTGGAAGGCATTCGGGTTTTTTTCAGGGAAATTTGGAGCAAGGTCCAATTTCCAGACAAGAGCTCCCACCAGCACCCGAGGAGTCAGTTTTTTCGGGAAATGAAAGGGCCCAATGGGTACTAGGCCCCTGGAACCAGCCTCCCCTAATATCTAACACCCCCAGCAGCCCCGAAGAGAGACAGAGAGAGAAGAGAGAAGAGAGAGAGAGAGAGAGAGAAGAGAGAAGAAGAGAGATAAGAGCGGGGGGGGGGTGGGCGGAACCCAAGTCCCATTTACAACAAGCCTCTGGGTCCGTCTCCTACAAAGCTCTGGACAAAGTCCTTCCGACTCTCACTTCTTTGCTTGTAATCAAGCGTTATCTTTCCCTGGTTCAGGTATTCATTGGGGGAAACCCACCCTTGCTCACTCACACAGCCAAAATCCCAAACCAGGACATGGATACGGAATTTGCCAACTGGGATCTCGCCCCCCAAAAAGACAGTGGGAAAATCTTGTCTCACAGAAGTTGGGCAGGGTAGCCGTAGGGGGGGATTGGGGCAAAAAAGATGACTAGGAGGGGAAATAAAGGATCTTATGAAAATTCCCGGGAAACCCGTACCAGACTTGAGTCCTGGAGTTGGGAAAGTACGGTGCCTGGAGGAAGGGGAAGATGTAGTTCGGGGGTTACTGAGCCGTAATGTTGGCACACTTCTGGCAAGACATGATTGAAAATAATGTGTGATATAAATTTTAATAATGTCGTCCTAAAGGCAGAACTTTTCGTCTTGGCTTAAATAGCAACGCTCATCTTGCCATATAGGACAAGTGAAAATTTGTGTATGCAATAATTTCGCCAAAATCATTCTGAACCTAACGAAAAAAATATATTTGATTGTGTTTGTTTAGCACTAAATTATTGTAAACGTATTTAAAATATATTTAGTTGGGTTAGGCTAAAATAAATTGTTCTTGTTATAATAAGGTTAGGTAAGTTTTTCTAAGGTTCTTGTGTGCAAAATTAAAAATTTTTTACATTAACATTAATGAAAAAAATATATCTTTAAACGTATAAGAGAACATTTCAGAAAGGACTTAATTTTAAATGAGTTCTTGCTAATTGACCAGTTTTACATATTCGGCACGACATATTATATATATTATATATATATATATATTATATATATATATATATATATATATATATATAAATATATATATATATATATATAATTATTGAAAAGATGATCATTTTAGGCCTCTACTTACCTGACCACTCCGAGAATTCTTGATGTAGATACGTAGCTATCCTGTTGTGCCATCTGAACCAGAAGATGCCGAAGGTGAGCAAGAAGGGTTCTCGTTCCCTCTTGGATTCCCCAGTTCTGTGAAGGGAGAAAACAGAATATTACGATCTACCGAGTAACATAAGTGAATAGAGTAAGGTTTCGTGTCTGTCTCTCGATCAGCGGACGGAGGATTGCCTTCACCATACCCTGTGCTACATGACCCACATGAGTGAGGTTCGTATGCTGGTAGTCGTCTGTAAGCAGTGGTACGGCTTTTCCCTCTTTGCTATTCACTTTACATCACAACATCAGACAGTGCATTCTAAACGTTTCATTCCAAGCGTTTCATTCCAAGTGTTTCATTCAAAGCGTTTCATTCCAAGAGTTTTTTTTTCCAGGCATGCAGTCTCAGGCACCATTCCAATACCTCCATCCCAAATATTCTATTCCAAAGAATTCATTAGAGACTTTCCCATCTACCTATTACAAATATTCCGTTATACATATGGATATATGTACAACGGAACTACATTCCAAACTCTGTATTCAAAGCGCCATTTCACAGGACTCCAGTGCAGATTTTCCGGTGCTGATACTTCGTTCCTGATACTTCGTTCCTGATACTAGGTTCCTGATACTCTGTTCTAGACGCCCCTTTACAATTATTCTTTCCCAAACGCTCGAAAAACTCCTTCGGGCAGTTTTCAATAGGTTATTTTTTACCCCATCCCCAAACCCGTGGGAGCTAGTCAATATACTGAAAAGGACATAAGGGCCCCAGGGACGGGGCCCCCATTGTAATGGACCTAAGTAATTCCGGGGTAATAAATCATTTACAGTTCTACTTGGTTACAGTCATAATGAGCTGCTAATACATTGACTTAAAACCCCCCAAAAAAAACTTTACAATATTTTTACGCTTTTTTTTTATCATTTATACTATTTCGAAAGGGTAGATCGATTTGTTATGGTTTAAGGGTTATTATTTATAATACGCGAAACAGGGCATTTTCCAGGTGGCTGGAATATGCCACTGTCAGGAAATACTTTGACGTTCCAAGCATAAGAGAAGGGGTGACAAATTTTTATCTGGGAAAATTTATTTAAGTTATGTTTGCATCAGCTAGTGATGCAGCCTCCCAGAAATGCTCGTAACCTAGCCAGAGCCTGACGGTAATGGCATCCAAGTCTATTGATTTTGTTTGATGCACCATTGACATGTAGCTCCTCTTCCGTGATATAATGATGATAGATGCATTGACAGGTGTCAGTTTCGTCAGTCTCATGACAATAAAGCACAACTGAAGTTCTATTCGTATTATTGTTCTCTGACTGCTAAGTGATACCACAGGGTTGTAAGCTGCTCCATCATAGGCAGTTCTTCAGTTTTATTATTTATCTGAAGACCAAAACGAGATGGAATCCACAGGTGTACCTTGGCTTCACTGTTTACAATCCTACGACGCTTGCACCTGTCATGCTTCTGACGCAAGTATGCCAGAAATTGATGCTCATGGAGTTAGAGCATTTATAGATGATAGAGAACCAGTTGCAATTAAGGTGTCATCTTTAGATACAAGGCCGCATTTGAGTGGTAGGAGTTCAGTTGAAGGGTAGAAGCCCAATTGTTGTTGTGTGCTCCAATTTCTGTATGGGAGCCATCACTCTGCATGCTAACAACGGCACTGCCAGTTGCACCAGTGAACTGCTGAACAGAGTCATCAACATAATTTATGGAAGAGTTATATGGCTAGGGCATCAATATAGTTCATCTAAAGAAATCTTGCTTGGCTTCAAGACGAAGCTTTGTGGCTGAATAAGAGTGTTCACCAGTGCTGAAGAAAGTCTGGATGGCTTCTATGCAAGGGTTTGAATTAGTTTGCATGATCAAATTAACATCAACGAAAGCATTTCTTTCAGTGACACGATCTCTGATGCCTGAAATACTAAGTTGTTTCCTAATGTTTAGAATTCCTGAGGAACGTAGACATCCTAGGATGAACCTCGCTGCTCTTATGTAAATTTTCAAGTCTAGCTGCATGTATGTTGCTACATATTAAAGCAAAGACCCACCACGAAACCGGATCCTGCGAAATATGCCTCTGAATAACTCACATGGGTTTAGTACTTCGAGAAATAAATTAACATACAATGTTAGACAGTAACTCACTGAAGAATCTGTCAACAGGAGCAGTGTAACTTCTACTGACGTAATCGGAGTGGTTGGTTGGGGGCGGTGGGTTGGCCATGGGCAGACGCTGTGTGTTCTGTGCTGGGAATCCTTCACCAAGCTGAAATATACAATGAGATGATTATCCCGAACACCACAGATATACAGCGACACACCTGCAGGTCTCCTACAGGTAATATAAATGGGGATTACTTTCCATTTTCCATTTAGATTTGTAGGTTCCCTACATGCAACTTTTTATATATCTATGTCGTGTCGAATAGGTAAAACTTTCGATTTTGGCTTAAATAGCAACGCTCTTCATGGAGAATAAGACAAGCGATAATTTGTGTATGCAGTAATTTCGCAAAAATCATTCTGAACCTAACAAAAAAAATATTTCGTTGTGTTTATTATTAAATTATTGTAAACTTATCTAAAATATATTTAGCTGGATTAGGCTAAATTAAACTGCGCTTGTTATAATAAGGTCAGGTAAGTTTTCTAAGGTTCTTTTGGTACAAAATTATTAATCTTCACAGTAACATAAATAAAAAATATATATCTTTAAAAGTATAAGAGAAATTTTTAGAAAGGACTTAAATGAGTTGTTGCTAATTGACCAGTTTTACCTATTCGGCCATATATATATAATATACACGCGTGCGCGCACACACACACACACACGAGCGCGTTGACAAGATGTTTTGAAAATATCACAGTAAACAGGTGATATCAGAATATGTAAAACAGCCACTGTGAAAGAATAGTGAAATTCCAAGGGCTTTTGTAACTTCTCACATTATCAAGGAACTATGTTCCTTGATAATGTGAGAAGTCACGAAAGCACTATTCTTTCACAGTGGCTGTTTTGCATATTATATATATATATATATATATATATATAAATATATAATATATATATATATATATATATATATATATATATATATATATATATATATATATATATCAAAACAAATCGGCCGTCTCCCACCGAGGCAGGGTGACCCAAAAAGAAAGAAAATCCCCAAAAAGAAAATGCTTTCATCATCATTCAACACTTTCACCTCACTCACACATAATCACTGTTTTTGAAGAGGTGCTCAGAATACAACAGTTTAGAAGTATATACGTATAAAATACACATATCCCTCTAAACTGCCAATATCCCAAACCCCTCCTTTAGTGTGCAGGCATTGTACTTCCCATTTCCACTACTGAAGTCCGGTTATATAAAATAACCGGTTTCCCTGAATCCCTTCACTAAATATTACCCTGCTCACACTCCAACAGCTCGTCAGGGCCCAAATATCATTCGTCTCCATTCACTCCCATCTAACACGCTCACGCACGCTTGCTGGAAGTCCAACTCTCTCGCCCACAACACCTCCTTTACCCCCTCCCTCCAACCTTGGTGGCCCGGTGGTCTGGTGGCTAAAACTCCCGCTTCACACACGGAGGGCCCGGGTTCGATTCCCGGCGGGTGGAAATTCTGACACGTTTCCTTACACCTATTGTCCTGTTCACCTAGCAGCAAATAGGTACCTGGGTGTTAGTCGACTGGTGTGGGTCGCATCCTGGGGGACAAGATTAAGGACCCCAATGGAAATAAGTTAGACAGTCCTCGATGACGCACTGACTTTCTTGGGTTATCCTGGGTGGCTAACCCTCCGGGGTTAAAAATCCGAACGAAATCTATCTTATCTTATCTAACCTTTTCGAGGACGTCCCCTAATCCGCCTTCCTTCCCCTACAGATTTATACGCTCTCCATGTCATTCTACTTTGATCCATTCTCTCTAAATGACCAAACCACCTCAACAACCTCTCTTCAGCCCTCTGACTAATACTTTTATTAACTCCACACCTTCTCCTAATTTCCACACTCCGAATTTTTTGCCCTTAGACAGGACATCTTAACTGCCTCCAACCGCTTCCTCGCTGCAGCATTCACAACCCAAGCTTCACACCCACATAAGAGTGTTGGTACTACTATACTTTCATATATTCCCTTCTTTGCCTCCATAGATAACATTTTGCCTCCATAGATAACATTTTGCCTCCATAGATAACATTTTGCCTCCACATATTCCTCAATGCGCCACTCGCCTATATATACACACACACACACACATATATATATATATATGTATATATATATATATATATATATATATATATATATATATATATATATATATTATATATATATATAGGAAGAGGTGTTGAGTTACTAAAAGTATTAGTCAGAGGGCTGAAAAGGGGCTGTTGAGGTGGTTTTGTCATTTAGAGAGAATGGATCAAAGTAGAATGACATGGAGTGCGTATAAATTTGTAGAGGAAGAAAGGCGGGGTAGGGGTCGTTGTCAAAAAGGTTGGAGGGAAGGGGTAAAGGAGGTTTTGTGGGCGAGGGGCTTGGAATTCCAGCAAGCGTGCGTGAGCGTGTTAGACAGGAGTGAATGGAGACGAATGCTTTTTGAGACCTGACGAGCTGTTGGAGTGTGAGCAGGATAATATTTAGTGATGGGGTTCAGGGAAACCGGTTATTTTTATATAGCCGGACTTGAGTACTGGAAATGGGAAGTACAATGCCTGCACTCTAAAGGAGGGGGTTCAAGATATTGGCAGTTTGGAAGGATATGTTATATATCCTCATATGTGCTTGTAAACTGTTGTATCTGGGCGCCTCTGCAAAGACATTGATTATGTGTGAGGTGACAGTGTTGAATGATGATGAAAGCATTTCCTTTTGGCGATTTTTTCTTTCTTTTTGAGTCACCCTGCCTCGGTGGGAGACGGCCGACTTGTTGAAAAAATATATGAAACACAGATACACTCACACACATACACACACACACACACACACACACACACACACACACACACACACACACACACACACACACACACACACACACACCCACACACGAGCGCGTTGATAAGAGGTCTTGAAAATACTGAAAACACATAAAATATTAGGTAAAACACAGAGCAAAATTTATTTCCAGATAATGGGAACTACAAGTGTCCCGATAATTCCACTACGATGTAGCCTCCTAAATTCACAAGGGGAATTTCCTTACTCGTAATTTACCTAGATATTCAATACCGGAAGCTCTGTTATCATTAACTCTTTACAATAAATATTTACTTAAGAATCTATAAGCTTTCTTATAATGAGAGTTTCGTGTAAATACGACTGAAAACGTGTATCCAAAATTGAAAAACGTTAAAAAAAAAGTCATTAGTAGCTCTGTTCGTGCTAATCAGTTTCAGATAGTTTTTAATTACACCGGAAAAAAAATTTACTTTATGTCGAGCTACAACTTGATAATGGTCCAGGACGGACCGAAACGTCGTCATGAAGTCTTGTGTGTGTTGCGGATTGTTTGCGAGCTCAGATTCGATACTGGGTTACCACACAGTCTCATAACCCAGGTTTCATAACCCAGTCTCATAACCCAGGATGCTATAGTCTCATAACCCAGGTTACCAGTTCATAACCCAGGATGTACAGTCTCATAACCCAGGATGCTATAGTCTCATAACCCAGGTTTCATAACCCAGTCTCATAACCCAGGATGCTACAGTCTCATAACCCAGGATGCTATAGTCTCATAACCCAGGTTTCATAACCCAGTCTCATAACCCAGGATGCTACAGTCTCATAACCCAGGATGCTATAGTCTCATAACCAAGGTTCATAACCAGTCTCATAACCCAGGATGCTACAGTCTCATAACCCAGGATGCTATAGTCTCATAACCCAGGTTTCATAACCCAGTCTCATAACCCAGGATGCTACAGTCTCATAACCCAGGATGCTATAGTCTCATAACCCAGGTTTCATAACCCAGTCTCATAACCCAGGTCTACAGTCTCATAACCCAGATGCTAGTCTCATAACCCAGGTTCTAACCAGTCTCATAACCCAGGATGCTACAGTCTCATAACCCAGGATCTATAGTTCATAACCCAGGTTCTAACCATCTAACCCAGGATGCTACAGTCTCATAACCCAGGATGCTATAGTCTCATAACCCAGGTTTCATAACCCAGTCTCATAACCCAGGTTGCTACCAGTCTCATAACCCAGGATGCTATAGTCTCATAACCCAGGTTTCATAACCCAGTCTCATAACCCAGGTTTCATAACCCAGTCTCATAACCCAGGATGCTACAGTCTCATAACCCAGGATGCTATAGTCTCATAACCCAGGTTTCATAACCCAGTCTCATAACCCAGGATGCTACAGTCTCATAACCCAGGATGCTATAGTCTCATAACCCAGGTTTCATAACCCAGTCTCATAACCCAGGATGCTACAGTCTCATAACCCAGGATGCTACAGTCTCATAACCCAGGATGCAACAGTCTCATAACCCAGGATGCTAAAGTCTCATAACCCAGGTTTCATAACCCAGTCTCATAACCCAGGATGCTACAGTCTCATAACCCAGGATGCTATAGTCTCATAACCCAGGTTTCATAACCCAGTCTCATAACCCAGGATGCTACAGTCTCATAACCCAGGATGCTATAGTCTCATAACCCAGGTTTCATAACCCAGTCTCATAACCCAGGATGCTACAGTCTCATAACCCAGGATGCTATAGTCTCATAACCCAGGTTTCATAACCCAGTCTCATAACCCAGGATGCTACAGTCTCATAACCCAGATTTCTATTATGCCACGTCGCATTTTGTAGATGAACTAATCTAAGGTGTCAGTCAGCCTTACACTGGTAAGACAGACCGTAAAGGTAAGACCGTAATTTAACAGAACACACTTGAACAGTGCAAAGAGTCTCGCTTCTTGTGGAATTCATCTTCGGAATTAGCAAATCAGAGGCAATTTGCGTGTGAATACAGTAAATAGATGATACAAAGAGCCTTTGTAAAATAAGTAATTAAATATATGCAAGAAAAAATGGATAAATAGGGTAATATATCCGTCATCTGTCAGTGGTTCTATGGATTATCTTTGCAATAGCCCGGTCTTATATTAAGACTTCTTGGTTGGAAAAGAAATATTACGGAATTAAGAAGCACAGACAGGTGAATGTACGTATATTTCTGAATGTAAGAAGTTTATAACATTTACTTGTTTTACGTGTTCGTGAGACAAAGAAAATATTAGCACTCCTGCCAAAATACATGGATAATGGAACTTACTGAGGATTACTGGTAGGCAGTGGAAAGGGTGAAAGTGATTAAAATTTACGTAACCAATATGGTTAGGTTAGGTTAATTAGGTAGGTTCGTAGAAACAGAAAATGTGCCTCCGGTCCAGATGATGAGTTGGACTTTACTGACGACTTCTGGCTTCCCCACCAAAATGGTAACAGTCTTCTATATACCTTAATAATACCAATATGGTGTTAAAGAGGTGGATCAAAGTCTCGTCAGTGAAGAAAGACTGTCACTGGAAGATTAGATTAATGAAGCAGTGAGAACATTCATGTACTGCACGATCAAACTGTCAGATATATAAGGATGCTGAAATGCTAAAGAATCTCTTCACGACATATTATTATAATTAAAAAGAAGCTATAAGCCACAAGGGGCTATACAGCTCTTGACGACATAAACCTATCCAAAATTTAAATATGCAGAAGTGGCGAGATGTCCGCACGTACAAGATATGTATGAATGCTAGAAGATATTATAAATTATTGGTAAATACATAGAGAAGCCCTGAACCAACAGGACTTGCAGCGCAAGGGGGAAATGGGATATAATCCTGTTTGATCCTAGAAAGGGAAGGGTCGCTCCAAATCCCAGTATTGGACAAGCTAGGAATACTCCAGATTCGTGCTATACAATGGGTCACATGCAAAAAAAAAAATGATTCACGAAGGCTGAAAAGATTAGGCTCGTTATTAGTGTGTGACAGGAATTAAAGATCAACTGTAATAATGGTATACAAGATTTTAGAAGAATATGAAAGAATAAATAAAAATAATTCTTAGGAATCAAAGGCCACAGTGGTAAACAAAGAATAATCAGCCAGCGAAAAAATACAGATACGAGAAAAATTTCCAGAAAGTGATAAAAGATTATTTTTGTTATTATTATTATTAATGATTATTAACACAGAGAGCATACAAGGTCTGAGGAATGGCAAGCAACCAGATCTGATCACAGGAAGGATGATAGTTCTAATTCCTTGGATCTAAATCCCTTCATTAGCATCAAGGTACTGTCCTTAAAGCAACAGAAGCAGTAAATGTTAAAACTGGCTACCTACTCATAAATAATAATAAAAATAATAATAATAATAATAATAATAATAATAATAATAATAATAATAATAAATAATAATAATAACGCTTACCTCATCATGGGTAGCCAGAAGTCCCCCAGGTGCCAGAGTGCCATCAGATCTGGTCCTCAATACATCTGCCCAACCCTTGGCAGTGCCATACACCAGTCCACCATCCATGTATGGTGTGATCTCGTTTAACTGTGGTAATTACATATGGATACGATCAAAGTAAAGAACAGTAAAACAATAACACTTGAAATAAGAATATAATAATAATTATTATCATCACCATCATTTTAAAGTCCCATCAGCCGACTCTCACCAAGTTTGGGTGACTCAAAGAAGGAAACACGTTTATCATAATTTACTCAATAATTATGTTACTAGAAATACACACACGTCACAGTTGAAATTGTTCTCAGAAGTGCAGCGGTTCCCTCCCCCCTATCCATCAGAGTGCATGCACTGTACTTGTCACCTCAAGGACTCGAGTCCGGCTAACCAGTTTCCCTGAATCCCTTTGTAAATGTTAACTTGCTCACACTCCAAAAGCACATCAAAAAACGAAAATTTAAACATGCTAAAAAATCCCTGCTTGTTGCTCAAGCCCTTGCAACTTAAAACCCTCTTCACTTCCTCCAACCCTTTCTAGGATGACCACTACCTCCAAGAAGGAACTGAAAATAGTCGATTCAGATTGGATAAGCAGAGGATGGATAGGTGTATGAGTGAGAGGAGTTGGATTAGAGTTGGACGTGCACGTGGGTGAGTAGGGGTATTAAGCCTTGTTCTTTGGGTAGCACCGAAAATGTGTTGTGCAGTTATTTTGATAGTGGGTTTGAGTGTGAGAAAAACCTGCCTAGTATGGGCCAGTAGGCCTGCTTCAGTGATCCTCCTTTCTTATGTTCCTTCAATTCACTTCAGATGTAAACAACCACCTGGTTAACCAATCCAGCTTCATCCCTTCTGTATGACCAAACCATCTCAGCAACACATCTTAGCTCACTCAATTATATTTTTCACACCTCCGCACTTCCCTTAATTTCTACTATTTAAAATTAAGATTGATCTCAAACATAACAACTCTCATGTCCTTTTAAAACTAATCAAAAAATGTGTCCTGGTATCCGTGGGATAGCTAATGAATGCCTCTTTTAATCGTGTTTAAACTTTTAATTAAATGATCACAATCTAATCGAAGTCCAGACTTGCATGCACAGGAGTCCTGATCGGCACAATACATTCAGTTATGAGGGTACCTTTACCAAATTCAACTTCAACAACAAGAACATCATCTGGGATCAGGTAAACTATGCCCTAAATGAAACATGCTGGGAGGATATCTTAAATTACATGGACCCTAACCAATGCCTCGAAAAGATCACCCTCCTGAAAGCTGAAGTATGTTCAAGGTATATTCCTATAAGACAAAAGAAAAGAAGAAGTAAACTGGAGAGAGAGAGAGAGAGAGACGCTCCCTCTACAGGAGAAGACGAGAACTATGTATAGAAGATGATTACCTCATCTTCTGTACATAGTTCTCCTGTCTTCAAGTTATGTCCTGGAATTTGTATTGATAAAGCCACTGGATGGCGAAACGTCTACAATAAAGATACCCAGATGTTGCACAAGTGTCTCAATTTCATCTTGTCGGTATTGTGTACCATTCTTGTACAACCTTTCGCAACTGCTTGACCACTATGATATGGTCCTAGATACACTGGAAAACAAACAGAATGCGGATATAGTATACACAGACTTTGCAAAAGCCTTTGAGAAGTGCGACCATGGTGTAATAGCACACAAAATGCGTGCTAAAGGGATAACCGGCAAAGTAGGCAGATGGATCTTCAACTTTCTAACCAATCGCACACAAAGAGTAGTGGTAAACAGTTAAATCAGATGCTGCCATAGTGAAGAGCTCTGTCTCACAAGGCACAGTACCGGCACCTATCCTGTTCCTTATTCTCATATCAGACATAGACAGAGATGTAAACCACAGCACTGTATCATCTTTTGCAGACGATACTAGGATCTGCATGAGAGTGTCATCCACTGAGGACACTGTTAACCTCCAAGAAGATATAAACCAAGTTTTCCAATGGGCAACAGAGAACAATATGATGTTCAATGAAGACAAATTCCAACTACTCTGTTATGGAAAACTGGAGGAAATAATAACTAAAACTGAGTATACTACATTATTATTATTATTATAATCAAGGGGGAAGCGCTAAACCCGGAGGATTACACAGCGCCTGGGGGGGGGGATGTGGAAGGCATTCAGACTTAATTCGGGGAACTGGAGCACAGATCCAATTCCCTAAATCAAGAGCCCCTCACCAACATCAAGGAACCTTCCTTGAGGGGTGAGTATACTACAAACTCCAATCACACAATAGAGAAGAAAAGTAATGTGAGAGACCTGGGAGTGGTAATGTCAGAGGATCTCGCCTTCAAGGATCACAACAATGCCACTATCACATCTGCTAGGAAACTGATAGGATGGATAATGAGAACATTCAAGACAAGAGATGCTAAGCCAATGATGATCCTTTTTAAATCACTTATTCTTTCTAGGCTGGAATACTGCTACATCCCCATTCAAGGCAGGTGAAATTGCAGAGCTAGAGAATATACAGAGAACCTTTACTGCACGTATAAGCTCCATCAAACACCTAAACTACTGGGAGCGCCTGGAAGCACTTGACTTGTACTCACTAGAGCGCAGGCGAGAGAGATATATCATAATCTACACCTGGAAGATTCTGGAGGGACTGGTCCCTAATATGCACACACCAATCACTCCATACGAAAGCAAAAGACTTGGCAGGCGATGCAACATACCCACAGTGAAAAGTAGGGGCGTCACTGGTAGACTAAGAGAAAACACAGTAAGTGTCCGGGGACCAAGACTGTTCAACAGCCTCCCACCAGCAATAAGGGGCATTACGGGAAGACCCCTGGTTGTCTTCAAGAGGGAGCTGGACAGATACCTAAAGACGGTGCCGGATCAGCCGGGCTGTGGTTCGTACGTTGGATTACGTGCGGCCAGCAGTAACAGCCTCGTTGATCAGGCCCTGATCCACCGGGAGGCCTGGTCGTGGACCGGACCGAGGGGACGTTGATCCCCGGAATAACCTCCAGGTAGACTCCTCCAGGTAAGCCTTATATTGTTATTGGACTGTGCAAACGCAAGTTTGCAAAGAAAATTAAACGAATTACGATATTAATCTCTATGTAATAACGAAAGAATGGTTCTTCAGATCTCTTTCAAACTCTCAGCACTGACGTAAAATGATTAGTGGAGAATTTAGATCGATTTTAAGCTAAATAGATGCTAGTGCAGTGATTATATTCAACAAATTCATCTATTGGTTTCCATGCCATATCGTGACAAAGCTTTTATTTAATTAGCTAAGTAGCTGGCAATTTGCAAATACTGTTTAAAAACTTGGGCTCTCAATAGGAAATTGTGATATCAACACTAAACTCAAAACCCCTATTTTCTGACCGCCACATAATGCTCCCAGTGATACCAGAAGTGCAGATATTTTTTTGTTTTTGTTTCAAGTTAAGCCTCTTTTTAATATTGTTAAAAATTTGATTCGTTGAATACTATAACACTTTAAACTATGTATTTCGAGTAAGACATGTACTGTAAAGAAACGTGAGCAAACACTAGGTCATATTTATTGCAAGACGTTTCGGTTCTGGGACCTTAACTTTTCAGAAGTGATCAAGGTCCCAAGGCCAAACGTTTTCTAATAAAAATGTCTTCTAAACGAGTCTTTCTAAACCAATTTGTCGGTATTTATTACCAGCTTTATACCACAGAGCGTTACGTTGTTCCGGGTTTGTCCTGCAAAGTGCGTCTCTTTATAGGTTACCTGCTGGCGCGGGTTATTGGGAGAGAATCCGGTGGTCATGTCGTAGCGAGTACGGAGGAGAGGCAGCTCCTTCAGCTTGGGTGCGTGTGTGTAGAAGACATGGTCACTCTCTACGGGAATGTTGAAGTACTCTGGTGGACATCCAGCTCCTTGAGCATCCAGGATCTCCTCCACCACCTGCTGCCCTGTCAACGATAGATTGTTCTGTCAGCCAAACTGTCTACTGTGTCATTCTGTCGACCACACCGTGATTTTACTCCCTTCCCCCCCCCCCCTTCATACCCTGTCACCCATAGATTATCATGTCCACTGCACAGTGGTTTTTTTCCCTCACACCTGTCAACTACAGATAGCCCTGTCAACAACGCAGCCCACTGCGTTATTGTGCCAGTTAGTGTTAACCATAATGCTTCCTGTCAACCAGCCTTCCCATTAGTTTCACTCTTGTCAGCAACTGCAGTTCTGTTACGTGAGAGCTTCTGCCTTTATTTTATAGTCACGGAGAAGTATTAAACACGTACGGGACATGCAGCGCAAGTGGAATGGGAGGTGATGCGGTAAAGTCCAAGAAAAGGTAAGGTAGATAAAAACGCTTCCCCCTGAGCAGATCACTCTCTTTATCGGTCTTTAATCTTAACTGTTAATCACACACACACACACACACACACACACACACACACACACACTACACACGCACAAAGTGGACAGAGACAGGATGTTCCAGAGAGGGAACACAGAAACAAGTGGTCACAACTGGAAGCTGAAAACTCAGAGGAGTCACAGGAATGTTAGGAAATACCTCTTCAGTCACAGAGTCATCAGGAAGTGGAATAGCCTAGCAAGTGATGTAGTGGAGGCAGGAACCATACATAGCTTTAAAACGAGGTATGACAAAGCTCAGGAAGCAGAGAGAGGATCTAGTAGCGATCAATGAAGAGGCGGGGCCATGAGTTGAGTCTCGACCCCTGCAACCACAATTAGGTGAGTACACACACACACACGCACACAATGCACTAAGGATGAATCTCTTTTTTACTAAAGAATACCTTTTTGAGTACTTTTATTTCCATTTAGTTGAATTATTATTATTATAATCAAAAAGAAGCGCTAAGCCACAAGGGCTATACAGTCCATTTAGTTGAAATGAAAACCGTTTTCACTTATGTATGAAGAGATCTCAACCGTAGCATCCAGATGTTAAATATTCATATGAAATTTCACATAACACTAAAAATAAGAATTTTTGTATTTCGTAGGTGTTTCTTTGAAACAATTTTGTATCAACACGTTTCTATAAAAATATGCAAGACAATCGCAAACGAGCGATCAAACAATTGAAAAACCAGCCACAGAAATGGGAAAAGTGGGCAGATAGATCTTTAACTTTCTAACCAATAAAACACAAAGAGTAATGTTACACAGAGTTAAGTCGGAGGCTGCCACATTGAAAAGCTCTGTTCCACAAGGCACAGAACTCGCCCTCATCTTTTTTCTCATCCTCATATCTGATATAGAAAGATATGTAAACCACAGTACCGTGTCTTCTTTAGCAGACGATACTCAAACCTGCACGAGTGTGTTAACCACTGATGACACAGTAAACCTCCATTTGGATATAAACCAAGTTTCTCAGTAGGTCGCGGAAAACAGTGGACTGATGAAGCCACTGTGTGGCGAAACGTTTCTTCAGTAAAGATTCCCATATGTTGCATAAGTCTCAATTCTTCAATATGAAATCCAATGACGACAAATTTCAGTTATTCCGTTATGGAAGATTTGAAGAAATAATAATAGCTATAACGACGTATACAACAAATTCTAAGCGATACAACAGAGCAAAAACTAAAGTGAAGGACTTGGGAGCGATGTCAGAGGATCTCAACTTCAAGGGTCACAACAGTGTCACTGTCACTTATGCCAGGGAAATGATAAGAAGGATAATGAGAATTTTCAAAACTAAGTATGCTATACCACTGATGATCCTCTTTTAAGTCACTTGTTCTCTCTTGGTTGGAATACTTCTGTACACTAACAGCCCCATTCAAGTTAGGTGAAATTAAAGATGGAGAATGTACAGAGAACTATTATTGCTCGTATTAGTTCAGTCAGGCACCTTGATTACTGGGAATAATGGAAGTCCTTTAACCTGCACTCCCTGGAATGCAGGCAGAAAAGATGCATCATAATCTACACCTGAAAAATACTAGAGAGACTAATCCAAATCTGCACACAGAAATCACTCCCTATAAAAGCAAGACTAGCCAGACGGTGCAACATGCCCCCAATGAAAAGCAGGGATGCTATGAGTACACAGAAAGAAAACACAATAAGGGTCCGGGTCAGTTCGTAATGGGAATTACCAATAGACCCCTGGTTGTCTTCACGGGGGAGATGGACAACTACCTAAAGTCAGTACCCGACCACCCGGGCTGTGGTTCGGATGTTGGATTCTGTGCGGCCAGCAGTAGCAGTCTGGTTGGTCAGGCCCTGATCCACCAAGAGGCCTGGTCGAGGACTGGCCGGAACAACCTCCAGGTAGGAGGAGAGGGATGAAATGAACTAGCTCTGGGCCTTTCGCACTGCTATGTAATATTGCAGTAGGTAAGCAACGTGGAAAGAACTCAGAGGTACAAGAGCAGTGTAAACACGGTCATCGCTTCTCTCTGAGCCACTGTGTGTATGTACTCACCTAATTGTGGTTCCAGGGATCGATTCATAGCTCCTGGCCCCGCCCTTCACTGGTCGTTGCTAGGTCACTCCATCCCTCTTCTTAAAGCTATGTATGGATCTTGCCTCCACCACCTCCCTTCCAGATTATTCCACTTCCTGACAACTCTGTGACTGATGAAATATTTCCTAACATCCCTGTGACTAATTGTGACCCCTTGTTGGTGTGTTCCACCTCTTGATATATCTTGTCCCTGTCCACCTTGTCGATTCATGTCATCCCTGTCCCTCCTGCCCTTCAGTGTCATCAGGTTAATTTCCCTTAACCTCTCCTCGTAGGACATGCCCGTTAACTCCCAGACTAGTCTCGTTGCAAACCTTTGCAGTTTCCCTAATTTCCTGTCGTGCTTGGCCAGATGTGGGTTCCAAACTGGTGCTGCATACTCCAATAAGGGCTTGATGAACACGGTGTACAGAGTCCTGAACATGTGTGTGTGTGTGCGTGTGAAGTAATTGTTTTAATATTATTTATTTTGAGATAGTGAAAAATAAACATATATCGTTCCCCTTCCTTTTCTTTACATGAAAGTGAGCGAGAATAATGCCAATTCAAGAAAGAAAGAGAAGAATGGGAAGCAGAAATTTAGTAAAGGCCACATACCGAAGAAAACCTGGAAAGCTGTTCTTCCTCCCTTAGACAGCATCCCGTTGGCTCCAGCCATGAGTTCTTGACTGATACGAAGTGGATTGGTGATCCTGTTGGCTGGTTCGTAGACGCCGTCGCTGTAGGCTGGCTGTAGAAGGCGCAGTAGGGGTGTGTCTGTAGGGCCGAAATACAAGATTACTCTAAGCTGGAAGTGATTCTTACAGGAGGGGAAGGACTTGATGGTGATGACGATGGTTATATCTAGGCTTACCATGAACAAGCAAACTATTTTTTCTGTTATGCAAAATTTAGTTTACATGGTAACATAATGTTAAGCGTAAAAGAAAGCCACTAACAGGCAGTGCAGTCCCGTTTTGGCCGGGATTATCCCGGTTTGAAATCCCTGTCCCGAGGTCCTGGTCAGTGTCATTTTGTCAGGGACAGAAACATTGCAACAATAAAAGAAAAAGAAAAGAAAAACAGAGAAATATGAAAAAAAACGGAAATTTCATCTCAGGAAAACGTGTTAAAACTTTATTTTATTGCATATTTCGACTATTCAGTGCGATTTCCCGCATTTTCTGACAAACCTGACAAATCTGATTTGCCTTGGCTGAATCTTCAATAAAAGGCCTAATGTACTGCAATATAAGCAGTGATTTAGTTCCAGTAAGTTTTAGGAGAAAATAAAAAATAAATCATTACTAAGGAAGGTTATTCTAGTGAAAAAAAAAAAAACGAATTGTTCTCCAAAAAGTAATTCCAAAATTTACATTTTTTGTTCTTTCTCGTTCTGTAGTCCATAATTAAAAAACTGATAGATTTTAGCCCCAATTTACTTACCTTAAAGAAAATATACCTACTTTATATTTCACGAACAATTTTTTTTCAAAACATTAAAAATGTCCCGGTTTGATTTAAATAAAAATAATGGTGTTGTTAGTCGTTTGCCGAGGAGAATTTGCAGAAAAAGCTTTTACTGGGCTCTCTAAAGCTGCAACAGAGCAAAACGTTGTCCGTTTTTGTTGCCCAGCCTCTGTTTTTTACCTTATATCTTACAATAGCTGCGATACTTACATCAACAGATGCACACAGCAGAAAAACGTAAAGCCCCGCTTCAGATGGTCTTAAAAAAAGGGGAAGAACTAAGGCATTGACGTTAAAACAAAAGAGTGGTACAGCCAAGGGAAAAGACGGCTAGAGGAATGCTACGCTAGTAGAAGCCCCTAAAACTAGGAGGCCGCTACAATCGCGAAAGCCTACAACAGCAAAAAGCCCCTCAAGCAGCAGAGGGGCGCACAAGATTAGAAGACGCAACAAGCGTAGAGAATCTAAAAACAGTAGAATAGCAAAGGAGCAATAGCTAAAAAAGCTAGAGAGATATGCCAAGTAGAGAGAGTCACAAGGAGAATATGTACAAGCAGCAAAAAAAGACGCTACAAGCTGCGAGTTGCTACAAGCTACGAGTCGTACAAGAAAGGGGTGAGCACAACATCCCTACGGCTCCCAAAAAGGTGGCGTTTTATTGTACCCCCATCATAACCTTCATATTCTGGAGGGGGCGTCTCTCTGCCTCCATTTCCAAGTGAGAAAACCAACCTTGGGGTTGCTCTCTTTTCCCTTAGAGATGGGAAGAGGAGGTTGCCTTGGGCTAGGGCTCTTGATCCCTTGGATCAACCCAGAAAAAAAAACTCACTTCCCTTTTTTTTTAAATCTTGTGTTAACGAGTCTAACTACAAAATTATATTTTGTTATGTTTTATAGAGAAAAATATAAAAAATTTTTATTGAAATATAGCAAAAATTGCAAAATAAAATAAATTAAAATTACAAAAATAGTTATACTCATAAAAGTGTTATTATAATTATTATAATAATTATTATTATTATTATTATTAAGATAGGTAGTAATAACAATTATAGAAGCATTATTTTAAGTAATTATAAGCAAAATAAGAGTATAATTGTTTTTAAGAAACTTCAATACCTAACTTTGAGGATTATTATTAATTGCCCGGAGAAGCGCTAAATGAATAGGGGTTATATAGTTCACAGGGAAACAGAGGTACTGAGGTGTAACCCGAGGAAAGGGTGTGTAGCACCAGTTCCTTAGATCAAGAGCCCTTCGCTAGCAGTTGTCACACACACACACACACACACGCACACACACACGCACACACACGCGCACACGCGCACACGCACACACGCACACACGCACACGCACACACGCACACACGCACACACACACACACACACACATATTGGAGTATGCAGCACCAGTTTGGAATCCACACCTAGTCAAGCACGTCAAGAAATTAGAGAAGGTGCAAAGGTTTGCAACAAGACTAGTCCCAGAGCTACGGGGATTGTCCTACGAAGAAAGGTTGATGGAAATCGGCCTGACGACACTGGAGGACAGGAGGGTCAGGGGAGACATGATAACGACATATAAAATACTACGCGGAATAGACAAGGTGGACAAAGACAGGATGTTCCAGAGATGGGACACAGACACAAGAGGTCACAATTGGAAGTTGAAGACTCAGATGAATCAAAGGGATGTTAGAAAGTATTTCTTCAGTCATAGAGTGGTCAGGCCGTGGAATGGCCTAGAAAGTGAAGTAGTGGAGGAGGGAACCATACACAGTTTTAAGGCGAGGTATGATAAAGCTCATGGGGCAGGAAAAGAGAGGACCTAGTAGCAATCAGTGAAGAGGCGGGGCCAGGAGCTGTGACTCGACCCCTGCAACCACAAATAGATGAGTACAAATAGGTGAGTACCAGTGAAGAGGTGGTGCCAGGAGCTATGACTCGGCCCCTGCAACCAATTAGGTGACCGCACACACACACACACACACACACACACACACACACACTAAGGAAATTAGACAAAGTACAAAAGTTTTCAACAAGACTAGTCCCGGACCTAAGGGTTATGTCCTACGAGGAAATGTTAAGAGAAATCGACCTGACGACACTGAAGGACAGGAGAGATAGAGGGGATATGATAACGACATATAAAATACTGAGAGGAATAGACAAGGTGGACATTTGGAAGATGAAGACTCAGATGAATCACAGGGATGTTAGGAAGTATTTCTTCAGTCACAGAGCTGTCAGGAAGTGGAATAGTCTGGGAAGTGATGTAGTGGAGGCAGGATTCATACATAGCTTTAAGAAGAGGCATGATAAAGCTCATAGAGCAAGAAGAGTGACCTAGTAGCGGCCAGGAACAGTGAATCGACCCCTGCAACAACCACAACTAGGTGAGTACAACTAGGTGAGGTGAGTACACACACAAATGAGTCTAGGATGCCAAAATATTTGGTTGGCTGGTTAATGGAGTTTAAAGCCAATTGGCACACGAGGGTCATTACATCTGCAAGTCAATTGTTCACCACTGGTCAAGTGTACTTTATTTCGGCATATATACACAGAGATGTATACATACCTCACAGTTTATATGCTAAACATGGGTTTAGAACAGGTCGCTCCTGTCTGTCTCAACTATTGGATCACTACGACAAGGTCCTAAATGCACTAGAAGACAAAAAGAATGCAGATGTAATATATACAGACTTTGCAAAAGCCTTCGACAAGTGTGACCATGGCGTAATAGCGCACAAAATGCGTGCTAAAGGAATAACAGGAAAAGTCGGTCGATGGATCTATAATTTCCTCACTAACAGAACACAGAGAGTAGTCGTCAACAGAGTAAAGTCCGAGGCAGCTACGGTGAAAAGCTCTGTTCCACAAGGCACAGTACTCGCTCCCATCTTGTTCCTCATCCTCATATCCGACATAGACAGGATGTCAGCCACAGCACCGTGTCTTCCTTTGCAGATGACACCCGAATCTGCATGACAGTGTCTTCCATTTGTGACACTGCAAAGCTCCAGGCGGACATCAACCAAATCTTTCAGTGGGCTGCAGAAAAACAATATGAAGTTCAACGATGAGAAATTTCAATTACTCAGATAGGTAAACATGAGGAAATTAAATCTTCATCAGAGTACAAAACAAATTCTGGCCACAAAATAGAGCGAAACACCAACGTCAAAGACCTGGGAGTGATCATGTCGGAGGATCTCACCTTCAAGGACCATAACATTGTATCAATCGCATCTGCTAGAAAAATGACAGGATGGATAATGAGAACCTTCAAAACTAGGGAGGCCAAGCCCATGATGACACTCTTCAGGTCACTTGTTCTATCTAGGCTGGAATATTGCTGCACACTAACAGCACCTTTCAAGGCAGGTGAAATTGCCGACCTAGAAAATGTACAGATAACTTTCACGCGCCCATAACGGAGATAAAACACCTCAATTATTGGGAGCGCTTGAGGTTCCTAAACCTGTATTCCCTGGAACGCAGGCGGGAGAGATACATGATTATATACACCTGGAAAATCCTAGAGGGACTAGTACCGAACTTGCACACGAAAATCACTCACTACGAAAGCAAAAGACTTGGCAGACGATGCACCATCCCCCCAATGAAAACAGGGGTGTCACTAGCACGTTAAGAGACCATACAATAAGTGTCAGGGGCCCGAGACTGTTCAACTGCCTCCCAGCACACATAAGGGGGATTACCAACAGACCTCTGGCAGTCTTCAAGCTGGCACTGGACAAGCACCTAAAGTCAGTTCCGGATCAGCCGGGCTGTGGCTCGTACGTTGGTTTGCGTGCAGCCAGCAGCAACAGCCTGGTTGATCAGGCTCTGATCCACCAGGAGGCCTGGTCACAGACCGGGCCGCGGGGGCGTTGACCCCCGGAACTCTCTCCAGGTAAACTCCAGGTAAGAAGGCACTTCAGAGCGTGGTGTTTAGGAAGAGGAAAAACTTGAGTGTGAGAAGTGTAGAAGTAGAGCACATGCACAGTTTTAAGAATAGGTATGACAGAGCACAGGAGGCAAGAAAAAGTGTACGACAATATTTGAATAATCGAGAGAAAGGCGTCACGAGCCTCGGACTCTGTCCTAAAAGCCACGGATGGGCGGGTAGACACAGGAAAGGAAGAGACATGATACGGACAAATAAGATTACGAGAAGTTACGAAAAAAGTAGATAAAGATTTCGTAAAACCTTCAACAGAAATAAAGGTCGCAGTTTTGTGGTGAAGAGGTGTCAAAAGGTCACTAGACAGTGTTTCTTCACACGCACTGTGGCAGAACAGTGAAATACATTACAGAGCTAGTTAGTACAGTGCTACCACCGCAAGAAAAAAATATAACTATTGATGCCTCCTGGTATCTTATTAATAACAATAAG